GTGGAGCTCAGATCCTAAACCTCACAGCTTAGGAGAGGTTCTGAAGCCCACCAGCCTCTCCTGCCAGCGTCGAAGCGGTGATAAATGAACAGCAGATTTCTGCTTCCCCAATGCAAACGTTAGTATGCACAAATCATCCTTTGCCTTCTTTAGAAGATCCGTTATCAGATTTAAGCAAACAAGAAATTTTGAGCCACGCTTTTCTTAAGTTGCTTTGGGGAGAGTGTCAGAAAAATGCAATGCGATAATTCATCTTATTTTCTTGTCTTCGGCTTCAGTAATTGCTGTTACCCACGTTACCACAAATTTTACCAAATAATTATCTTTCTTTAAGCCATTCATGTAATTTCAAGTGGAACTGACTTTTTTGGAGGAGAGAGATGAATTAAATATATGACTCTTGCTGAAAAGCTAGAAAATCTTTAATTAAAGATTAGCAGTGGCAGCAGTTACAGTCCATTGTACGTAATTCCCAGCTCCTATTAATGATGGATAACTTTATTTCATATTTATTTCATATTTTGAGTTTTATCCAGATTTGAGGATCCATGCTTGGTAGAGATGTCCATTGTAGAAATATTGCTATGTACAAATATATATATTTTTTGAAATTACAGTTCTCAAGGAGCGCCCTGTATCTTTAGAGCGTTCTACTTTTCTCTATAAGCACTTAAAAAGCATGTAGTAGAATTATGTTAATTTTTTGGTGCAGCGCCTGAGCTAAGATTGTCCCCGCTGCACCAGACTATTCACTAAAGCCTGTGGTTAAATCCTGGCTCCAGGCAAAGAAGAACTAGCCAGTACTGAAACACTTAACTCCACAACTGCAATCTCTCTTTTTTTTTTTTTTTTTTTTTTTAAACTTCCTCTATCCAAAGACTGCTTCTGCTACACTCTCCTCAAGAGATGTGACGAGACTGCAACTGGACACTGTGAGGCAAAAACTGTGACAGTTGTGCTCTATGTATTGGCATATAGTACAAGGCAGAAATTAACGCAGAACACCTCTGGTATATATTGTCTGTAGGCCAAAGCACATGTACACTATCATTTAGATGTGATTATTTTGCTTCTTAAAACTGTGAAGAACCTTAACGGATTACAGTGCTCTACAAAACTGCTTTTGTAATTATGCTTGTTTACTGATTTGAAGCCTGTTGGTTAAACACTTCTTGACAAACATTTCCAAGATTTCTACTGGGATCACTTCATATTTGTAGTAGGTTTTGCACCTTAGAGTATGACATTTAATAATTTCTTTGGCACTAAGGAAAGCAAGCTAATGCTTGTTTCCTTTGTTTTACATGAATAAGCTTACAATAGGACAGGTAGCAAAATCAGAGAATGCAAACAAATTGCTCAACTCAAAGAAAAAATACCTCAGTGATCGTGTAATTACTATTCGCACATTTTCTATTGAAATGCTCTGGAGGCAGTGAAATGCCGTAGTGATGGGACTACCTAGGTACCATGACAGATTTATGAAAGGAGATGTAAACTGTCCCTGGAACTTTACTTCCCCATCCTCATCTCTCCAGGTGCTATGTAAGATAATTTGTAGTGCTGCTTTTTATTAGGTTCGTCAAACCAGCACCAAACCATGCAGCAGGGACCCTGAAGAGCATGAGCGTGTTCGCTCTTGCCTAGGTACAGAGGGATTGTAAGCAGCTTTTCTCCTCTGTTGCCTGTTTGTGCCAGAGCAAGTCCCTGAGTGGCTGGAAGCTGCAGACTTTGCTTTATCCTGGCATGACCTGCAGATTGTAGCTGTCAGGATAACGGAAGGGTGAGAGGAATTGGGATGTTATCTGCCTTCCCATGGCCAGCAGGAGAGCCAGCTGCACACGAGGACGGAGGTCTCTGCTGGAGGCACGTGTGACCCAGAAGGAACCGTCACATTTGAGCTGGCCTGAAGATGGTCATTAGGTCCATAAATGAAGAAAAGGGCATTTTTATTTTTTGAGTTCATGAAGAGGTGCATAGAGCAGCCTTCTGTAGCAAGGGACCGTGTGCTCCCATTCGGCACTGCCACTGGCTGCCAGCACGTGCACTGCGGTGGCCCCTGTGACAGCTCTGGTTGCTGTCCAGCGGCCTCCTTGTCATGGCACACTGGTAGCAGCCCATCAGTCTTACTGGTTGTCCCAGCAGCATAAGGCTGCTGTAATTGCAGGCTCTTCTGCCTCCTAAGCTTTGTCCCAGGGCAGATGATGCCTTGTCAGTGCTGGTGCCACTGCGCCTGGCTTTGGCTGCGTGAGTGAGTTGCAGAGATTGATCCCCACCTAAGGACTGCTGTGGTGAGAAGGGGGAGTTAGCAACAGCCCAACTGCTGTGCTTGTTCAGTGGAGGGAGAACTCGTAGTCTCTAGTGCTGTCATCACACTAAATTTAATTTTTAAAAAGAAATAAAATAATCATGACCATGCAATTTTTCTAGCTTGTAATTCACAAGCTTCACTGAAAAAGTCCTCGTGAGAGCTTACAAAAGCTGAACTGCTTCTATTTTCTGGTTGTGATTATCAGTAATTTTCTATCTGTACTGGGATTTATAGGTGCAGAGGAGGAGCTTTTGTGCAAACTTCATTGTCTGTATCCCACACATGCATTTATCGGTCGCTAATTTGCCAATGCAGCAGATTTCTGAAGGGAAATGCATACAGACAGAAGGAGGGGTGGAAGTGGGAGACCAGGAAAACAACAAGGGAAAAAAAGATGGGCTCATTACAGTTCGGGGAAAGGAAATTAATGCACATTTGGAGTGTGCAAATCATTACAACCTTCCCCAAAAATTAGGGATCAAAGGACTACGCAAAATTTTGTTCACTGATCTGTTTCTGAGATTCATCAAAATAATGCCAGAAAAGCAATTTCTTCTCAGCCTTGATCTGTTACAGAAACTGTACCTAGCCCTGGAAAGATTCATGTTTCTCACTTCCTTTTTTAGATAGATTGGTACGATTACAACTATTACTTTAAATTTCCACTTGGCAGTTCCGTATTATGCATCATCTGAAGAGACTGATCAGTAGGGTTAACAGATTACTTTATTTCTAGTTATGGGATAAGAGTATGCTCATGGAAGAAAAAGAGCAGAATTTGTGTAAAAACCAGAGCATTTAAATGGTCTCATTTCTGCCATGCAAAAGAGGTTTTTTAGATGCTTCTCCACCAGACTGTGCTCATATTTCAGGCCCCTTATAAGAGGGATTCATCACCTAATATTAGTAGTCTGATCTCAGGTCCCTCTGGAGAGGAGAAATGTTAGCCCCTCCAAGGGACAGTTCTTATCCCAAAGTAGGTGGCAGGAGTTGCCTGTTGAGGACATCTCTCTATCCAAAATACTCTACCGAGTACAGAAGGAGACTGAGCAACTCACTTGGACCAGATGATACTTTGATGTCTTCACTAGGGGCTGCTCTGGTGACCACACTCAGTTGCATTTAATTATTGATGTCAAGTTGGGCACAGAGCCATGTGCAGCTGAGGTTCTCTTTAACATTTATCCCTGTTGGAAGGAGCTTGGGTCATAGCCAGTGCATGACAGTATTGCACCAAGAAAGGTAAACCTCTTTTTCTTCTAATTAGGTAGATTGCTACTGTGGTAGACACAATAACGTGTGGAAAATCTGGGACTAAATGGGACAGCGCACAGGGCAGGAGAGAAGTATGTATATTGTCACGCTCTGATGTAAAACTACAGGCTGCTTAGTTTAACAGACAGACCCCAGCAAGTTTGCAAGCTAGAATGTAAATAAGTATCCATGTACAAGTGAACATGTTCTTAATTGCTAGATAAATAGAGTTTCATTACCGGGTTTAAAACAGACATGATATTTCAGTAGAATACCACAGGGTTCCTGTTGTTGGCTGAAAGCTGGGATATGACAACTCCTTTACAGAGATTCTGCTGCTTTCCAGATGCATGTGCCGTTGCAGCGATGGGTACCATCTGAACTGTGTGGTTTATCACAGGGGCTCTGCAGATATGGCAGTAAATAGTTCTGCTTCTGAAGACAAAAAGACTCCCAATTGCAATGTAAAAAAAAAAAAAAAAAAAAAGTATTTGTATATGTTTATTGTACTTCTAATTTACCAAAGCCATAACTTTACTTCAGATAACTGAAACTGCAGAAGCAGAATTCTTTTTTAAGTAACTAACTAAAAGTGTTTATGGAGAATTTCTTCCAGGGTTTTGGTTCCCCCACACCTTGATGAAGTGACTGTGACCTGCACATTGTTGGAGTACCTGAAAGTTTAATTTGAGCAGGCTTCTCTGGCTCAGCTGTCCATTAGGCTTGCAGAGGAGAGTACTCCACTCAGCTTCCTATCTGACAAAAGCCTCATTTGTATGTTAATGTTGAGTTGTGATTTCCAGGGAAGGCATTCAGTGTGTTGTAAAGGGCCTTACTGGCAGATTGCAGCTAAATTGATGCTCGACTCACTAAATATTTACCCTACACATCCCACTTAATATGTCCAAAACCAGGCACACTGTGAAATCCTGAAACCTGATTCTGTGCTTGTGAAAGTCAGGAAGCTGGTAATGTCAGCGCGGAGCAAAGCAAAGCGCTGTGTGAGTCCACCACCGTGTGCCAGCAGACCTCCAGCACACCCTGCTATCTCCCCACTCTTTCTGTGCTGTCACCCCCTACGCCAGGGCTTGCCTGGCTGCTCTTGCCCCAACACCAGGGCAGCGCTGCAGATGGCCCCCCGCTTTTCCTACATGCAATTCTCACAGCCCTGCTACCCCTTCTGCTTTGGGGCTGCCCATGGCCCATAGAGGATGCATCCTGTAGCACAGCTGGGGAGATGACCACTGTGTCTTCACCTGCTCCTTGCCATGTAGTTTACTGTTGGGAAAAATGTTTTGGGTTAGGACAGCCAAGATAATGCTTTTGTGCCCTTGCCCTCTCCCTGTCTCAGACATTCCTAATGTGCTAAAGCTGGCACAGTAGTGAGGGGTAGGTTGGAGACCTCACAGCTCACCTGTTTGTTTTTATTCCCAAGCCTGTTCTCCCAATGAGTTCCAGTGCAGTAACAAGTCGTGCATCTCCATCATCTTTGTGTGTGATGGTGACAACGACTGCGGGGATGGCAGCGATGAAAGAAAATGCTCCCCTCTGACCTGCAACCCCAATGAGTTCCAGTGCAACAACAGCGTGTGCATCCCAGAACTGTGGGTCTGCGATAACCAGCCAGACTGCGAGGATCAGTCAGACGAGTCCATAGAGAAGTGTGGCTACGATGCTAAGGCCCTCAACACCTGCGCAGCTCATGAGTTCCAGTGCGGCAATGGTGAATGCATCCACCTGAACTGGAAGTGTGACGGGGATGAAGACTGCAAGGACAAGTCTGATGAGCAGGATTGCCGTGAGTGTCTGAGGGGTAGGGCAGGGCTGAGGGCTCTCCTTTGTGGGGGAGAGGGACCAGAAGGCTGCTGTGAGCTGTGTTTTAAGGCAAGTCTTTGATGTCTGTGCAGCAACTGTGTGCCTGACAAGGAGCGTTTGTGTCCCTAATGGCATGGCTGCGTGCCCAACGCAGCAGGGTCACATATATTCCAGACCCCTTTTATGCTTTTTCCTTGAGGATTCGGAGAGGAGGTGCAAGAGCTGTTGGATGGTTCTGTGCCTCAGAAGAGATCTGTTTCACTAGAAAGACAAGGAGTGGAAAATGGGAAAAATGTTCAAAGCCCTCAGGCGGCATGGTGGAGTCACAGCCTGGAGGTTAGAAGCCGCAATGCTAAAGGGAATATATGATCAGCAGAAAAAAAATAATTAAGTTTCTGCCTCTGAAGTTAGAGTATATTGAACAAGGCAGTCAAGAGCAGCACCTCTGAAGAATCTAGTTTGAAATGCACTTTGAGCTTGGCTTGATAAAGGCACAGAGCTAATAAATAATGGATTTCTTTTCTGCTGGCTTTATGCATTTAACGTGGTGAGTTGTTGGTGTGCATGGTATTTTGAATGTTTCATCCATTTTTAGCCACTAAACTGTTCAAGCTGGTCACTTACCTGAGGAGGGAGAGACAAGAAAATATGAGCAAAATGTTTTGCTAAAATATTCATAACCACAAGATTGAAATAAAATAAAATATTTACATAGCTGTATATATTTAGCAGCTCTGACACTGGGCCACCTCCGGGGAGGAAGGCAGAAACCAGACATTTTTGCAAAGGTACCTAAGAAAATTTAACATTTTTGCCAGCACCATCTTTTCATACCCATGGCAACACTGAGTCCAGGCTGGTGAGCTCAGAGCAGCTGCATGGGGGAGAGCCCTTCAAGGAACAGGGGATCAGGGTCCTCTCTCCCAGGCAGAGGCAGATGTAAATTCAGTGGCTTCTTTAGTAAGAGGAGGAGGGTGTAGGAAGTCCTGGACACCACTGTTTACACTGCAGGAGAGCAGGTGGATGAGCCACAGGAAACAGTGGGACTGCTGTGTCTTTAAAAGAGCCAAGGACTCTTAAAAAAAGAGGTGAGAGCAGAGTAGGAGAAGCCAATTAAGTTTTGTTAGGAAGAGAGTAGCTTTGACAGCTGGATACGAGGATATCATCGCTGTCAACTCTCTTCTGAGTAGGGATGGATTAGGTAGGGTGTCTTTTCCTTCATCTCCAAGAAGGTGATACAGGACCTGACAGAGCTCTTGGGTAGCAGGTACCCAGGCAGTACTTCCAGGGTCTAAAGTGTCACAAGAACAGGAGACAAAGCTGGTTCCTGGCATCCATCTCAGTATGAAGTGACTGTAAGAAAGCCAGACAGGGGCATGTCCGTTGGAGATGTGCACTGCTAGCTGGGACAGCCTGTGTTGTTTGGTGCCTGTTTTAATTCTGAGACCTCCTGCAGACAGTCCTATACTTGTATCCCCCCCAAATCAGGGGGCAGTGGCTAGGTCCACATTGCCAACACAGATGAAGAACTGGTATCTGGCACAGGGGACTTCCAGCAGAACTGATCTCTGTCCCACAGGTTGCATTCCCTGCAGTGATGGCAACCTGGCAGGATTGCTGAGTTTAGACAACTCAGGAGAGGGAAAGGTGAGGTCCCTTCTATTTCCAAGTGGTAAAAGCACCAGCTTACAGATGGTGCTTTCCGATGAAAAGTCTTTAAAATTTCAATCCCTGTTGTTCAACTTGAAAGGAGTTTTTTTCAAGTCTTTCACAGGCCCTATTTGCTTTGACACTCTGCTGGGTGAGAGGAGTGGTACTGTGCCCATGTACCTTGCTGAGGCAGAGGGAGCGCTCTGTTCCCCAGATTCTTTCCTTGATCTGACAGACACCAGCAATATCCAGCTGAGCTCAAACTGCCAAGATGTGAGGCCTAAGAGGAGCATGGCTCTGACAGCATCCCTCACCTACAGAGCAGCTTCACCAAGTAGCACCTCCAGATACATCAAGGGCAGCCTCCCTGGGGTAGAGAGCACAGCTGGACACCTCTGCAGCACAGCACAGTGATGACAACCAGTGGAGGAAGGAGGAAATGTGGCACAAGTGACTTGAGACAGTTGTATCTCTGACTAGTGGAGATTTAGCACCCAAGGGTTTTTTTCCAGTAGGTCTCAGTACAGCACAACATGCAGATTATTGACCCAGGAGAAAAGAGCATGTGAACTGCTTTTGCTGCTTTCAGTCCTGTGGGCCAGGAGACAATGGGATTCAAAGCCCAATGTTTTAGCTACTGCAGTGCTCCTTTGTACGGAGTGCCTGGTTCTGCCCTTTACACCCGTGCAAACTAGGAGTCACCCCAGTGCCACAGAGGTGCATAAGCCTGCTGCTGTTTACACTGTGGGGAGGGCAATCTCTAAGGTAGTAGCCCGGAGAGGACCTGTGGCACTTGAGTGCTTGTGTAGCTGATGTGTTGACTGGGTCAGAGTCAAAACTAATGTTGCTTCCCCAGCTCTTCCTTGGGTGAACACGCCTGGGGTAAAAAAGTGACATTTGAGAGCTTTGGAAAGTCAGCATCACTGTTCATCTGGTGGACTGAAGAGTTTAGAGATTGACCTTTTTTTTTTTTCTCCCCCAGAAATTCTTTTTGAGATCAATGTCATGTGGCAGACGGAGTTACAGGTGTAGGACACTGCTCCATTCCCTTAGCAACAGGGATGGCACAAGTACCGCTAGGTTTGACTTGATTAAAACTGCAGATACCAACACTACATCATCTCTTGCAAATGGGAGTCGTATAGGGGTTGCATAGTATAAAATAGAGGAATGGGAGCTAATGCTTTTAAAAAAATGTCATGAGGCCATCACCAGTCATTTGTTATAATCATTTTGAGATGATAAACAAGTAGAGCAGAAATGAAGGGTGACAATTGGTGAACAGGTTTTGGCAGCAAGACAGCAAATAAATAGGAGGGAATGAGTCATTTCAGGAAAGCTCTGTGAGAACATTGAGTGGTTGGGGTTTTTTCCCTAGCATATATATTCAAATATGTATATGTATTTATGAAATGAACATTAGGTTAGATTTAATAGTCTCCAAATCTGGAATGATTATATTTTAAAATGTCCTTTACAACTCGCATTAGGGCATCCAGGAGGGAGAAAAAATAATGATTACAACAGACAGCTAGAAAACAGATCCCCTGAGACCTCACCTCGCACTTTTGTGCCTCTGTCTCCCCACCTGTAAAATGGGATTGATGCATTTAGCAAATGTTGGAGTTTTCTTGATATTAAGTTCATTTGGGAGGGGACAAAAACAACAGAAAACAGAAGAAACGCAGGCTTAGACTTGGAATCAGGAATATATCTGCTGAATTTGAGCAATAGAGCTTTGTGCCCTGTATTTGCAAATGGGAAGTGTGTCTGAGTGCACCTGTTAATTTAGCAGAGCTTTGGTAAATTGTTTCATAATTGATTTGCAGAGCAGAGGAGATGGCTATAAAACTGCTGAGATTTCACTGATTTAAACCTTCCAAAATAGCACAGCAATTTTGTGAACATCTTGTGCAAATAAACAGCACAGCTCTTCCCTCTTCTTGGGATATTGCTCTGCTTTGGGATTGGCCCTGATGTGAACCTGCTGTCAACTCTGCCAGTGGTGCTGAGATGGGTTTGTGTCCTGGCTTCAGGATAACAAAGTTCCTGGCCCTCTCCCCTCAAACTTATGCTCTGCAGGCCAGGTATAAACATAGCATTCTCTCTCCTCCTACTGAAAACCGCCCCAAAAAATAGAAATGCTGTATATGCATTTTAATATCTTTGTGATCGGTAAGAGTTGTTACTGTATCTGCTCTTTTTAGATGTCTGTTAAGAGGCTGAGGGGCCATTCCTCAAAGGTCTGAACTTCCACAGCTCTACTGGAGTGAGAAGTGAGCCGGGAAACGAAGCCTGGTCTCCAAACTTCTGTCTCTTCTTGTTGAAGCAAAAGCTTTGTTGTACAATCCCACATCTGTGTTTTGCAGTCCCTGTAGAAACCGAGCTAAGAGCTGTGCTGTCATTTTTCTCTCAGTTTTGTGGTGCTTGTGTAACATTGTCTTTGCAGTTCCTGCAAAATTCTCCTTCATTTTACTTTTTTTTAGGATTAGAAACATTTCTGTTCTTAGCATCTAGCTATAACTGCTTTTTAGAAGAGCTTTGAAGATTACAATTGAAGACAATTAGTAGGTTGTATAACGACTGCCTTCCAAATCTGTAGCTGTTGTCATGCAGATTAACTTGATAAACTGGAGCCTGTTCCTGCTTCAGGAACGTGGAGATTGCCATTGGCTTTAATTACATGTTACACTTCTGTGAGGGCTTAATATTTATAGTCAGAGGACCATCCTTTCCTGTCTCTACATATAGAAGCTGCTACAGTAAAGGTGAAGTAAACTGTTTTCCATGTTGGGGATGAAGACAAGAAATAAATGTGGCAAGGGAATTTTTGATCAGACAGTAGGAAAAACTTTGCAATGGCTAAGTTTTAGATTGGCAGAGGTCATGATTGCCTAGGAGGAAGGTGGTCTCCATCCTCAGGGCTTCTGCAGGCAGGTGGTTGTATACAGCAGGAACGGTTCAAGCAGAAGTGCCTCTGCCTCCCTTGCAGGAGCTCTCAGTGCAACTTCCAGATCTGTGGTCTGTGATTCTCCCAGACCACAGTTTTGTTTCTTCCTCTCCTTCATTTTTCTGCATTTAGAGCAGCAGTTCCCACATGCTTACTTTGGAGCTGCTGTCCCAGATGTCCCACTGGGGTTTCCAATTTCTGTGCCTGGGTTTATTAGCTGAAATGTGGCGACACAGCTGGTCCCATAACTATGCTTATTGCTTCGAATTTTTTTCTCACTTTGCAGCTTTTTATGAATATAGTGCATATGGCTTTCCTCTCCAAGGAGCAGTGCTATTTCCAAACTTTCCTCATGTGAATACTGTGTATTTCTAAAAGCAGGACCTCTCCCTTCCCCCAGCAGGCCTGCAGTTGTGGCTTTTCCTGTCTCTTGTGCCCTTCACCAGCTGAAGATGCACTAGAGCTAAGTCCGGTGAAGCAGTTATGAATCTAGATCCTGCATCCTGTGGGATGTAATCATCAATAATGCTGAGCCTTTGTGCAACTAATACTTTATAGTATCAATGCTAGCTCACTTCATGTCTGTGGCTCTTCCTGGATATCTGAAAGTAGTAAATTTTTTATTAGAACCAGGTTGTCAAATTGTCAGGGAAGGTCTGCCACATAGCTCTTGCCTCCCATGTAGTAACGTCAGCGCTGACCTCCTCTAGCTATTCAGAGGCAGTGATTTTCTGTCATATGATACCAGGACACAATCAGCAAGATGGAAAGGCTAGAATCAAGAGCTCTCCAGGGTGTGCTGCCTTAATAGGATTTTAAGAAAACATCTGTAAGACAGTCCCCTCAGAAGTTAGCTCCTCAGGAATGAGGAGCCTGTTTTGCCAGTGAACTACAGGCTGCAGCCCTTTGCTGGCTAGCGAGTGCCTGTACCCTTTGTCAGCACAAGTCTGGTCCCAGCTAGGGAGGTCTCTCACTTAGTCTAACCTTTTGGGAGGGAAACATGACCGCTTTTAGTATGGTCAGTGCAGCTGGGGTTTTTTTGTCCCCAACTTTGCTGTTCATCAGATCTGTTTTGAGTCTGTAATAATGTGACCTGGGCAAACGAGCTTCAGGCTTGAAACGTGGCGTGGCACAGTGGAGGTGGTTTTGGCCTGTAACCCCAAGAAACACCAAGCCGCAATGCAGCGGAGCTCTTCTGCCTTCCAGTGGTCTGTTCACACATGGGCATTTAGTAACCCAAATGATCATGTCTGTGTTGCTAGCCTCGTCCCTAATGTGACCACTTTGGCTTCGGCAGAGACAGTCAATACATGTCTCTTGCCCATGCCCTTAACCTGAACATGTTTTGAAATATATGTTAAATATATTTTTTTCTGAAGTAAGGAGAGCTAAGGAACAGTTGCCTTTGCCTGCCCAGTGCCACTCTGCACTCCTAGCTGGAAAGCAGCCTGGCCTCTCACATAAACTGAGGACCCCAGAGGGACTCCACTGCTGATAGGTTTGCTGCCTGTTTGCTTTCTTGAGTCTCACCAGAGAAGCTTTACTGCCTGCACTGATTCTGTTTTGACTAGATCTGCTCATACGGGCTTTGGGGCTCTTTTCCCAAGGATGTAGAGGGTGATCTGGGATGGCAGAGGAGAACAGGACAGTGGCTGAGGCAGCTGCTGCCTCTGTTGGTTTTGGGGGGGGAGAGGCAGCTGCTGCCTCTGTTGGTTTGGTGGGAGCAGCCAATGCTCTGTGACATTTGCTGACAGAGGGTGCAAAACTCCAGCAGTGTCAGAGGTATGTGACTTAAAGGTACCACACAAAAGATTCAAGTCCTGTGTGGCTAATGCTTGAATGTATTGTCTTAAAGCTCTGGTGACCTGCAGACCGGATGAATTCCAGTGTGGCGATGGGACCTGTATCCACGGAGCAAAGCAATGTGACAAAGTGCACGACTGTCCTGACAACAGTGACGAGGCAGGCTGCGTCCAAGGTAGGTACCGACAGCTCTGCACTCCTTATGCTCCGTGGCGTAAGCCGGCAAGAGCTGTGTGGCCATTGGAAAGGGTAGAGGCCCGTGCTGCTCCTCTGGGCCATGGCAAGCTGCTTCCTGTAGAGAGTTTTAAGCTACTGTAGCAGTGAGGTTGCTTGGGAGAGATGATTGTGGTGACCAGGCAGACTGCATGACTTGAAAAGTTCCTTGGCATGATACTCAGGCTTAATGCTTAATCCCATCCCATTTCTGCTAATGATACACTCTTGAAGCTGTATGTCAGGCCTTTTGTTGTCATGAGCTTCGTCTAACTTAGTTGCTTTCCTCTCTTGCCCGACATGACAGAGTCAGCATGTGAAAGTCCCAGCAAGTTTCAGTGTAAGAGTGGAGAGTGCATTGACGGAGGCAAAGTGTGCGATTCACATAGAGACTGCAGGGACTGGTCTGACGAGCCTCTGAAAGAATGTGGTACAGTACTTGCCTTCTATGTGTTGCTCCTGTTGTAACTGCTTCCCCTCTCCTCCATCTGGTGCTCACAGCTTTGAGTGTAACCACATGTAGCTGCTAATGCTATTTCTCACTCTGCTCCTCTTTCCTTGCCTTTATTCTCTCATCACCCTTCATATGAATATAATTAGTAGCCTAGTTTGATCATCTGTAAATTTGAACTGTGCCCTTCTCAGCTCAGCTTTTATTCTTGGAGGGATGTAGGAACTGAGCATGGGACTAGGAACCAGGAATTTCCCTCTCCCCAGATACTAGTGTCCTCCACAGCACAGACCGATTTATTTAACCTCATCGCCTAAATTATCTTTGAATTGTAAGATCATGATAACATCATAAAAATTTAGCATTGGGAACATGTTTTGAAGGTGAAAACACATAAAGTGGCAGCAATCACTGAGAGATGACTTCAGCCATTTCTGGGTTTTACATGTTGTTGCAGCTTCCCTTAGAAATGACAGCAGGTTGCTCTCTGCAGCCTGCCAGCTCTGGGCTAGCAAGGATGCACAAGCCACAAGAGCGGGGCTGTCAGAGTCAGCAGAACAGAAAGCCCAGGCCAGAGAACTGTGCCGCTCTCCCTAGGACAGCCCCTCTCTCACCTTTCCCGCCAGGCATTGTGGGCACCAGCCCCAATCTGGAGTATTACTCAAACGCATTTGTTTTTTTTCCCCAGTGCAGAAATGTCTCAGACAGGCATCCCTTTCCATGACATGGAGCACCAGTAGCACAGAGCTCAGTGCCTGCCTCTAAAATAACTCACATTCAGGAAGAACTGTCAGTCTCTCCTCTATATCAGACAAGAATGTGTGTGCATGCTTAGCGAGGATGCTCTTAACTTGTGCTTTCAGTATGCCCTTGCTTTCTTCCACACTAATCCACATCTCCCTGTCTTTCTGAGTGGTTGTTGCAACTTGTCTGTCTGTGGAGATCTCCCAACAAAGCTGGCAGCCCAGTTTGTCTTAGGAGACTGGGCAGTGGCACAGCACAGCTGAGCTTGGTGCTCAGCCTTACAGTGGTGCCATGGCTGACTTGGTGCAGCCCCAGGCTGGCTGTGAAGTGTTGTTTAAGTTAGGAAGCTGAGCAGAGAATAGCCCCCAAAGGAAACATATTTCTTTAAGAGTGCAGAATGATGTGGCTTGCTGTGAATGTAACACCCGTGCACAAGTAGTCCACGCAGAAAGCAGGAGGTGCAGGACATGCTCCTTATCTTGGTGTGTCTGTCTAGCTGTGTGCTAGACACTGCAGTGCCCTCTGAGATTCCCCAAAAAAGCGCGACAGAAGACAGAACATCACTTGTCTTATTTTAGGCAGGCAGTGAATATACACTGCTGAAGTTTGGGTAATGGGCAGCAGCTGCCCAGCAGAAAGAGAGCAGGCTAATGTCTCTGCTGAGCTCCTCCTCAGCTCCTATTGAGAAGTGCAGCAAGTGAACCAGCTCTTGATTTACCGTCTCTAGATCCGTTCAACAGAGCACCTCTGAAACCATGGGAATCATCAGAGTCGGGTTTGCTCATTAGTCGAAACAGCCTTTGTAGTATTTTGCAGAGAGCAGTTGTACATGTTTATGACCCAGTTTGCTAGAGGCTTATGCAAGCGTAAGAATAGGTGATATCCATTAATAAACATCATTGAACAGTGACATCACACAATGTGACTCTGTGAACACCTTCTTGGAGCCTGGTGAACTTGCTCTGTTAATAACATATTGAAACCTATATGTGTGTGTCATTGGTAGGAAGGTGAAAGCATCCCAGAGCTGAGATGGGGTTCCTTCTGGCATGGTATTTTAGTAGTCTTATGGACTTAACTGGCTTGTGGTTGGTTTCATTTTCTTCCAAGAGCACTGGTTTAATGGTGTTGCTGTGCTGCTCACCTGCAGTGTGCAAGGAAGCAAGAAATAAAAGATAAATGAAAAGTTTGCCTTTAAATTGCATTAGAGATTGAAGCAAATCAGTTGTGCTTGTTCTAGTGAGCCCACTATCCCTGAAATCCCACAGCATCTGTTAAGCAGTCTTACTTAGGGAGAGGACTTTCTCTTGACCTTGTGTAGGTTAATTACGACAAGAAGACATGTTATTTCTGACAGGAAACCAGCTTTCCTCATCCTCTCATTCAGTTCTAGTTACAAGGATCCATTTAGTCTGTTTTTCATTTCAACACTTGAAAGCAGGATCGGAGAGGTGGCCTTGGACTAGACAGGGACCCAGGAGAGGATGGGGGATGTTGCTTCATAAACTGCACACTTGGGCTGATGCAGGCTGCCAGCAGAGACTGTCATGTGGGAGGTGGTTGTGGGAGGACTGTATCTCAGTGCTAATGGGATCTCTCTGACAGACTGTACTTTGGTGTTTTCTGGAATTTTCACGTAGATCATTCCTTGGAGCTAGGTGAGAAAATAGTACAGTATTTCAAAATAGCTGGCCCCTGGGAGATGAGACTCCCCCAGCATGAATTATTAAAGCTCAGAGAGACTGTTCAGAAAAGTCAACATGAACCAGCGCACGGGGAAGGAGTCATCTCCTGGAGAGAGCCCTTAGGTCCCTTGGAAGTTTCTCACATGTGGCAGAACATGCTCAAAGCAGCAGCTCCCTGATGGGATGAGATGCAGAGATTCACATGCGCTGTATCCCCAGGGCTCCCTGTTCATTTAGCTGCTAGCTTTCAGTCCAAATGATCCTACAGTGTTGGTTTGGAATAATAAAGAGCAAGAAAGTGATATGGTGTTGGCTTCCTATCTGTGAGGCCAGTTCCTGACTACCAAAAGCTGATAGATATGGGAAAATTTCTGACAACCACTCTTAAAGCCCTCCTTTGTCATAGATAATCTGTATGTCCCTTCCAGGTATTAATGAATGCTCTATGAACAACGGTGGTTGCTCACACATATGCAAAGACTTGAAGATTGGTTATGAATGTGAATGCCCGCCCGGATACAAGCTTCTGGATAAAAAAACGTGTGGAGGTAATTTACATGCAAACAGCAGTCCCTTGTGTTTCACCATACAGAGATGTGATTATATTCACTTGAGCATTGCTCCATCACAGATGGTTTGATTTCAAGTTATTGATGGGTTTCAAACACTCCTTTCAGACATAGATGAATGTGAGAATCCAGACGCTTGTAGCCAGATCTGCATTAATTACAAGGGGGACTACAAATGCGAGTGCTACGAGGGATACGAGATGGACACCCTGTCCAAGAACTGCAAAGCTGTAGGTAAGACAACGCCACAGGCACTTAAACTCTGCTTGCTCAACATCACAATTCTGATAAGAAAACATGCTTGCAGGGCTGAGGCTAGGGGAACAGAAACAAAAGGAAACTAGCAAAGCAAGTAAGCAAAGATATTTCATTTCAAGCAGCACAGAACTGCTGCAGTGATAGCAGATGCATCTCTAGGCAAGAACTACTGATCATGCAGATCAGAATTTTTTAACAGTGTACAGAGCAAGATTACAGTCACTAGTTAGCTGTTTGAAGCTGAAACTAGAAAAGAAAGTCTCTTGACAGGTGTTATTAAAAACAGTGCAGCAAAAATATTTAGTGGTAGTTATACTAAAAGGAAGACGACATCCCAGTTAAAACACTGTAGGTTAGTTGCCTCTCCACCCTCCCAGACTCTTACGCAAATACCAATATGAACACCAGCAGTTTGCTCGACTTTATTGCAAAAATCAATGTTAATCTCAGAGGGATAGAAAGTTGAATTGTGCGAGACTGAGCATTAGCCATGCTGGGGTTTTCTTTAATGGAAATAGTGGGTGTCTTGAAGAAGGGTGGGTTATCTGCAGTACAAAATTGCTTCTCTACTATTATCCTGCACACCCATGTGGCCTCTTTCATCACAGGTTCTATATGGTATGCACAGTGTCCTGCTGTCCTCATAAAGTCTGCTAGTCTCACACCTGCAGTGAGTTAGGACTGACCCAAATCCTGGGACACTGATCTGCTTGTTGGTTAGAAAAGTTCTGTTGTGTTTGAGAGCCTGTGCTGGGAGCCATGCAGCACAACTTATTCCAGAGCTAGAACCTTGTCCCAGCTCTTCCCTTTCAGTGTCATGTTCCTCAATCCCCTTTTGTCCTTCCCAGTGGAACGACGGTCTTCGCTAGGATCTTTTACTGGCCCACTGTTGGGGACAAACCGGTCTAACCCACCAAAGCTCATTCTGAGGTTCCCATCCTGTCCCTATCCTCAAACAGGAAGGTGCACAAAGAGCCAACTAAAGCTTTCGCTGTTTGATTCGCAGTTCATTTTAGTGGCACTTAAGAACACAGTGAATCACATGCTCTGCTGCTTGCAGGGGGCAAGGAGGTGCACCTTTGGTCTGAGCCTAGAGACATAAGTGTCTGCCTCCTACAGTAGGAAACTGGCCTTCATGGGGCCCACTGTGAACAACTGTGGAGGCTAAGGTGCTGCCTATGGTCTTCTAAACAAAATAAGTATTGGGTTTCTGTGTGCCCTGCTTTCCTGTCTTTCGGAAAATTCAGGTCAACTTTATCCTTCTTGAGAGGCTCTAGCCTGGGCTGGCCTGAGATCACGACTGCAGTAGCAGTACCACCAGCACCCACAAAAAAAGAGATGTAAACTGCCTGAGCCCAAGTGCTCAGATGGACTGTGTGAGTTCTGCATGTAGGTGACAGCCTAGAATTCCTCCCTGGCAACCAGTCCTGGCTTTGCTGGATTCAGTGTGACCCTATCATACCTCAAGTCTGGCCGCTTCCCTTCCTCCAGCCAGCCCAGAGTGCTGTCTCTTCCTTGCCCTGGCCATGAGTCACCAAAATCTGGCCCATGTATTTTGTATCTGAAATATGTAATTGAAGGTGAGGACATTCCCCAGAGTTTTGCTTGCGGCTTAGCAGAATGGGCAGACCAAGGGCCATGCACATCTAGTGACTACAGAGTTGCTGCAGTCCTCCATGTCCACGTGTGATAGCTCTGCCTCTGGAAGCCGTTTACACTTGCTTCTGGTGTGGTGTAAAGCTTTCTTACGAAGCAGAACTATCAGTGACTGATCATTCTGTTGTTTGAGAAACAAAAGCCAAAGCCAGCCCTTGGGTCAGCTGCTAAAATGACAAATGTGCTTATTTTCTGTGGTAGGCAAGAGTCCATACCTAATCTTCACCAATCGCCACGAAGTCCGTAAGATAGACCTGGTGAAAAGGGACTACTCTCGCATCATTCCCATGCTGAAGAACGTCGTGGCGCTGGACGTGGAGGTGTCAACAAACAGAATATATTGGTGTGATTTGTTCTACCGAAAAATTTACAGGTAAGGGGCAAGAGAGGATGTGTGGTTTGGTACCTTTCCAAAGCTGTGGTTCAATCTGTACCCCTTTAGGACACTCTGCAGAGAACAATGCAGGGTACAGTGAACCTGAGGGCTTTTCTTGCCTTACCAGATTACCTGTTGTGGCCCAGACTTTGTAAGCTTTTTTAGAAATTGATAAAGAAATCAGGAGCTTGTGCAGTTTTCTGGTTTGAGAATACAGGAAGGTTTTTCATCAATAATAGATCCTGCTGCATTTGTGCAATTACACATAGACTCATTTACTGAATCATAGTATTGCTAAGCAATGCTGCGTGAGACCGCTGCTGTGCTGTGTGCTTGCTGTACATGAAACCGCAAAGGACTTAGCATCTGAAAGCACAAAGGAGGGCAAATGGTGGGAGCAAGGAGGTAGCAGCACAGATACTAGCTGTCCGCTGTAGTCCCTGGTAGACTGGATTTAAATTTACAGCACTTGACCACAGTACACATTCTGTAATTCTCATTCTCCCTCCTCCTTCAGCTATTTTTATGGCATGCATCACAATATTACGTACCAGGGGTTGTGAGTGTGCCTAGTCAAAAATGCATTTCATTTATGTGCTAAAAATCCCCCATGTATATTCTGATTTGCATAGTTATTTCACCCTATTGCAGCTTCTACAGTGATTGTTCTGGATTTTAGCTAATGATCAGGCAGAGGTTGATTGGTTTCAGTGGGTGGGAGCCCAGCCAGGGTTTCTGCAGGCTGCAGTAGCTCCCATGCCATTGGCAGGGAAATTTGCCCAGGCTGTGCTGAGTGTTTAACAGGCAGGTACCCTGAGCGGGCCTGTGGGGCTCTGAAAATGGGGAGATGGTTCAGAAGAAACTGGCTGCTTTCACTGTGTCTGATTCTGTAAGCACAGGCCCAGGTGGGTAAGGGCTTTGCATTCATACACAGAGAATTATTCAAGAGACACTGCTCCTTCTGCAGCTCTCTGACAGTGAACGCCCTGGGGCGCCGGGGGGCACTGAACAATGTTCATACCCTGAGCATGGCTATACCAAGCCTTTTTCGTTTTCCAAACAGCAGAATTTTTCTCTTTCTTACTCCTGCTTGCATTATAGAATCATAGAATGGTTTGGGT